AGGGAGGGAAGGGAACGTACAGGTGAAGGGAAGGGGGGGGTGGGGGGAAGGGAGGGGGGAGGGAGGGCGGAAAACAAGCGCAGGGGATGAGGAGCAGGAGGAGGAACGACAGCGGGGACTGGGAGGAAAATAACGGGGGCAAGAGAGGAAAAGAGGGGAGGAAACAGGCAACGACGCAGGGCGACAGGAACGGGGATGAGGAGAGGGGAGACGGCCAGGCAGAGGCACAGACTCGAGATGAGCCCCTGCAGCGCGCACGGAAACGGGGGAGCGGCCCCACCAAGATGGGGCTCGGGCCCCAACCCGGCCTGCTGCTGTGGAAGCTGCAACAGTAAAGGGAAATTAGGACACACAAATAAATACACACAAATAAAAATAGTCCCCATATTTTCCCATATTTTCTGGGTTTTTGTCTTCCCCCCCAATTCCCATATTTTCCCATATTTTCCTGGGAGTCGAGGATTAATTGTGTCTGTGTGTTTTTTTCCCTCCTGAAACAGTTTGGGGCCGCGCGGGCTGCGGCGCCCAAATGCGACACGACCGCCTCCCACGGGCGCCTGCACGGCGACGGACCTCCCCCGGGATCCGGGGGCCCTCGGGCGCCCGAGCGCCCCTGGCCCTCGGCCTGGCCGGGAGCCTCCAGGGAGGGGGGGGCCAGGACCTGGGCCCCGGGGGCCGCTCCTGGCAGGCCGGCCCGGAGAACGGGGCCGCGCTCCACGCTGCCCGCCCGTGCCCGTGCCCGGGAACGCTGCCCTGCCAGACAAGGTCAACTGTCTTTCGATGGCCGCTTGCTGGGTCTGCCCGCACGCGGTCTGTGGGTCCCCCCCTCCAGCCGGCATCTTAGGCGAGCCAGGGGCAGGGCTCCCAGCTGCTGAACCGAAGAATATCATTACCCGTCCCTGGCAGGCGGAATCTGGAGCCTCCGGGAGCGGGACCACCCCGTGGAGCCCATGAAAGCGGTCGCCGTTCTCGCTGACAGCCGCAATAGCCCAACCTATCGCCCGAAAATTGGTAAAATTCGCCTCAAACCGCGGGCCCCCCGAGAACACAAGCATCCCACGCCTGGTCACGAGCATGCCGTCACGGGGCCAATCTGTGGACTCGGAGTACGTGCCCTTGGGGCACCTGGAAGGCATTCCGAGCCACATACTGGGATCTGGAAAGAGGGCCCTGGCGAATAACTCCCCGTCGGACTCTGGCCTGCCTGTCACTACCCTGGCCGCCCTGCTCAAGGAACTTCCAAGGTGATCCCTCCTCCAACTCGGAAATGCTGGACAGCAGAACCTCCGATGATACAGTGTGCCACGAGCTCCTCTACACAGCCCGCAATCGGGGTCGATACCGTCCGCATGCTTGTCCCATCTGGAGTGGCTCCAGTACCCGTCGGTCGGAAGAGGTAGATACAACCATGAAGTAAGAATGCGTTGAAGTAGATTGGGTTTCCGCCCGCCCCTTGGAGGGAAGAGGGCAACCCGTTCGAAACTTGAAGTAGGAAGGCGGCTAACGTAGATTGGGGACTGGGCATTCTAAAAATACATACGTTCAACGACCGACGGGCAGATGTTGGAGACAATACTTTCTAGTGTATGCCGACGGTGAGCATGCCATGTGTCCGAGGGAGGCTGGGATAGGAGGGCCTCTGATCGGCTGGCAGAACACGCTGCCCTCCCACGATTCGAAGGCACTCCGGTGCTCCTGTTCCTCCCGAGCTGTGGCCCCGCGGGCTCCTTCCCTGGCCTGGATGCCGAACAACTTCGGGGAGAGCCGAAAGAAGTTCCAACCCCGACCGAAGTCATCGACAAGCCGCTGCCAGGCCAGCTTGGAAGCACCATCCTAGCACGTGTTACGGCCCGCGCTGGGCGAGAACGCCGTCTTGACAGGCGGGAGCAGAACCGCGATCCCAAAGTGCGGCCTGCGCTGATGCGGGAGCACCGTTTTGGAAGGACCGAAAACGTTTGACTTGAAAAAACACAGAAGGAAAACGAGCTCACAACCATCCTTTGGGGGAAAATACGCGGAACGGGGCGGGCTATTCCCTGGCCAACTTCGGAGGAGAAGGTATACACATTAAGTGACTGTAGCGTGGGGAGCAGACAGGACAGGAGAGGAGAGAAAATGGAGGGGAACGCAGAAGGAGGGGGGAAAACGCAACCAAGAATCCGAGGTTCCCTAAAGTCTCTGGCGGTGTTCCGTGAATTTCGCTTGCTGTCTGATGATTTGGGTGCACAGCCACAGCCTTGCCACAAAGGGCCTCGGATGAGGAACGCAGCAGCTTGGGGCCTCGGTTAAGCCTCCATGCACGAGGAAAACCTAATAAGGACACATCGAAGGACCTAAGAAAGACCCATCCCCCTCCAAAACCAAAAGACCTGAGCTCAAAGTTTTTGCCTGTACACCCATCGTGCTGCCATAAGGAGCACCGTTATATATATATCTATATATATATATCATATTATATATATATATGTATAAATAGGAGGGGGGGGGGGGGGGGGGATGTGGGGGGAGGAAAAAAACAATTACCTGGGACGTACCCAACCCCTGCGCAAAAGCGGGGCGCAAATAGTTTAGGATACTTTATAAGGGGGCGATGACGGAGCGAGGGTTACATATGTCTGCAGTCGGAATTCGGGAGACTCGCAGGACACTGGCTACAGGAAAAGGGCTTGATAAAGCTGATGATTTACAATTCCTGAGCACTCCTAGCCTCGAAAATGGCGACAGTTTCGCAGATCGCAGCCCCCCAGGGATGGCGAGGTCTAATTTGAATCCGCCCGTGGCCCTCACTGTGCTGGCCCCCCAGCAGGGCTCGAAAATGGCGACAGTTTCGCAGATCGCAGCCCCCCAGGGATGGCGAGGTCTAATTTGAATCCGCGCGTGGCCCTCACTGTGCTGGGCCCCCCAGCAGGCCTCGAAAGTGGCGACAGTTTCACAGATCGCAGCCCCCCAGGGAGGGCGAGGTCTAATTTGGATCTGCCGCGATTACCCTCTATGCTGGGCCCCCCAGCAGGCCTCGAAAGTGGCGACAGTTTCACAGATCGCAGCCCCCCCCCCCCAGGGATGGCGAGGTCTAATTTGAATCTGCCGCGATTACCCTCTATGCTGAGCCCCCCAGCAGGCCTCGAAAGTGGCGACAGTTTCACAGATCGCAGCCCCCCAGGAATGGCGAGGTCTAATTTGGATCTGCCGCGATTACCCTCTATGCTGGACCCCCCAGCAAGCCTCGAAACTGGCGACGGTTTCACAGCCCCCCGCAGGCAAGACAGAAAGAGGCAGGAAAGAGGCGGGAGGCGGGAGGAGGAAGGACGCGACCACACTGCTCCATTCAAAACGAATACCCAACCAAGGAGGGTTGGGAAAAAAACAAATCACAATATAAAAAAGGCTTGCCCGGCCACGGCGAGCCTGGTCCACGAGCAGGGCCCCCGACCTACACCCTGGAGAAGACATGCAACTGCGTGTTGCAATGCGTCGCCCCCCCGCCCCGGACCCCGAGCCCCCGCTCTCGGTGCTGAGCAGGCCGCGGCCCACGAAAGAGGAACCGAACCGCGCGCCGCGGAAGACGGCTCGCGCGCGAGAGTTGCACCACCTCTCAAGGGCTCGGGGACCTGCTGACCCGGGTCTGTCCAGACCCAGGTCAGTCGGGCTTTGCAGGATCGTGCAAGATCCTGCGGCATCCTGCAGCCAAGCCTTGGTCAGTGCACCCCCCTGGGGAAACCAAAAGGCACCGATACCGCTACTCCCCGGACCTCTCCCGGGGTGCGTTCTGACCAGGATTTCGAGGCGAGTTCAGCGGTGGCGACGAGAGCCCCCAAGGAGGCCCAAAATGGGGAAAACGAGGGAAGGGTAGCGGTATGGGTACCACTTTCTCCTCCGACACCCGCCCTGCAAGATCCTGCGCAAGATCCGCCGCCCTGGCTGCCCCCGCTCGCACTGACCCACGTCTCTTGAGCCCCCCGCCCTAAGACTGGCCCGCAAACGGGAGCACCGCCTGAGCCCAGAGCAGCTCGCCCTGCCGTCGCTCGGACGTCGTCCATCCCCAGTGCACGTTTGTCGGGTTCGTGCGTGATCTGTCTCTTTTGGCCTGATGAGCCAAGATGCTCCTCGATGGCCCTCGCCGGGGAGAAACCGGGCGGCGGAATCTACGCACAGCCACTGTGTTCCCTAGCCAAACCCAGCCCTGAACCCAGCACCGGGGCATACGCCGCACCCTCCTGGCTTGGCCACGAGGGCGTAAACACAGCTCCTGGCTTCAGGGCGGGCCTGGCCAGGGAGCAGTGGATGTGCATACATCCTGCCGCCCGAAACCCTAAGAATCCTGAAACTCTCGCGGCCGCCCTTCCGCGCCCTTTGTGCCGCCCCCCATTTCGGCGCACCCCCCACGCAGATTCTTAGCCTCGGAGTGCCAGGAATGGCGTTCTGGGAGGAGGTGCTGACATCGGAATGCCAGACATGGCGTCGTTAGTCCTTTGCGAAAGGCACGGGCGCGACCTCGACCCTTGGGTTGAGCGCCGCCCCCGTGCCCTTCCCCAGGGGCCGCCCCGTGGAGGCTGGACACCGCCCCCTGGGTTTCCGAGCGGCTATGGCCGCCCCGTCGCGCTGACACTCCGCGGCGCGCTCAAGCGCCACGGAGCCAGCGCGGCAGGACGACCACGGCCGCCCAGAAGCCCCCCTCCCTCGGGAGCCTCTGGCCGAGAAGCTCCCGGAGGAAGGCGCAACTGCGCCTCGTCGACGCTTTTCTGGGGGCGCCGCGGTGGGCGGCGGTGGTGAGCGGCGCAAGCCGGGTCTCAGCGCATCGCTACGATTCCGCCGTGACGCGGTGGAGGGCTCGGCCCAGCGCCAGCGACACGGTGTGGAGACAACATCGTCGTCGTTTTGAGATCAATACGTCTTGGGTCATGGGTGGGAAACACGTCCAACAGGCTGCGAGTTTGGGCTAGTGGGCCCTAAACCCTAAACCTTAAACCCTAACCGTCCGAGCGATGCGAAGGCTCTTGTTTCGGCGTGTTGCCTGCAGCCTCCACCCTGGCAGCCGAGCGGCTTCGGGCTGGAGCGTCGAGGGACTACCAGCGGTCGGAGGGCTGCAGACGGCGACGAGCGCCCGCGGATCGCTGAAGGGTGCGCAGGTCGACGAGGACGTCGACGACGACGAGCGGCATGGAGGACGAGACGGGGAAGGGGAGGATGAAGAGGTATAGAGGGAAGAAGACGGGGTAGGAAGAATGCGATGACGACGACGACGACGAGGACTACTACTACTACTACTACTACTACTACTACTACTACTACTACTACTACTACTACTACTACTACTACTACTACTACTACTATTACTACTACTACTACTACTACTACTACGACGACGACGACGACGACGATGACGACGACGACGACGACGACGACGAAGATCACGGCGATTGCGACGACGATGTCAACGACGACGATGGCCATCACGACCATGACAAAGGCAGAGGCGCCGGCAATGGCTGCAATGAGAGCGACGAGCGAGGAAGAAGAGCACGCTGACGACGAGGAGCGAGGAGCGAGGAGAGCGAGCAGAGTGAAGAGAGCGAGAAGAGTGAAGAGAGCGAGAAACGAGGAGGAGCGAGGAGAGCGAGGAGAGACGACAGGAGCGAGGAGGGAACGAGGAGGAGCGACGAGGAGCGAGGACCGAGCGAGGAGGAACAAGGACGAGCGAGGAGGAGCGAGGAAAAGCGAGGAGAAGCGAGGACCGAGCAAGGAGGGAGCAAGGAGGAGCGATGAGGGAGGAGCGAGGAGGAGCGAGGACCGAGCGAGGAGAGCGAGGAGGAGCGAGGAGCGAGCGAGGAAGGAGGGAGAAGCGAGGAGGATGAATGAATGAATGAAATGCCCTGGCGGGGACAGCGCACAGCACTAAATGCTGAGCTCAGCTCAGAGTACTAGCCTCTCGACGAGGCAGCTTCCTTGTCACGAATTCTCTCCACAAGAGCAGCCAACCGCACCCTATATGGAAAGGCGGCCCCTGATGCCGAAGGAAAAGATACCACCGTAGAGTCAGACACCGCGGGACTCCTGGGGGCTCTCTCCGACGGCCTCTTGAGGGCCAGCCGGGCAAGGGTAACAGCACGACCCAGGAACTCCGCACACTTGCGATTAGGAGATTTACCCTGGAAAAAGCGGCCGACAACTTCCTGACCCTTCTTGGTGGGGGGCAAACAGGGACCAGCCAACTTTAAAGCACGGCCCTGGGACCACCCTCCACACTTTAAACACACATAGCTTTGCTTCTCAGGGATCGCGCACACGACATCAACCGAGGCAGGATTTCGAGCCATCCCAGCCGCAACAACGAGGTGCCCCTGGGGATCCTTGAGCAGCTTATCTATGAGAGGGGGTACACCAGTACAACCAGTGAGATCAAGCTGCGATCGGGAGTTTCCGCCTAGCCGCAAACAGCGGCTGCGCTGGAATCCCGCGGCCCCGCCCTGCCAGTCATGCCAGCCGACGCGGAGCCTGTGTTGCGCGCGCCTCGGGGCGCGGGGGGGGCGAGGCCACCTGAGATCGTTCTTATATAGCGGGAGCACATCAGCAGCGATCCTAACAAAATTGTTCGCCCTCTCGGGGGCGAGGTTGACAGAAGAAAGACACTCGGGATCTGCGCCGATATGCTGCAACAAAGCTTTCTTAGCATGATGATCCACCACCGAATTGCCGACAGCAAACTCCCTCTCGCCGTCGGGCAAAGCATCTATGACTGCCTGTGTGCGGTGCGCTTTTACATGCCGAACCTCCTGGAGCCACTGCTGCCCCTCGAGACTCAGAGCGAAAAGACGGATGCCAGCAAATTTCGACGAGGCAGTCAACTGGTGAACTATGTTGCGCTGTGTCACTTTTATCGCCGACATGCAATCCGCGCCGATCACCGCGGGTCTATCCGCCACCTGGCCGCACAAAGCTATAGCAACGTGCTCAGCCATCGCAGGTGTCTGCGGAAAAGTGCCGTGGACTACGCCACGTAAAACAGCAACTGGCTCAGGTGCAGCCCCGACATCGGGCAGTACTCCGATGGCCCATGCTGCTCGCTGGAGCGCACGGATGGGAGGCTTGGAACATGATCCGTCTGACACAAGACGGAGCACTTGATCACTTGACAGCTCTGCAATCTGCCCAGGATCCACGTCTAGTGGGTTGCCCGAGACATCAAACAACTCAACCTCAGACGACGTACTCGGCTTGGGCAACTCACTATCTGGATACACAAATATCCCGCGGGTAAAAATCTCGAGATCAGGATCTTCGGGCGCTGCCTGCATATGCTCTGGCGTGGCGCCCGACTCGTCTCGAGCTACTTTCACATCCGCACGCATGCACGTGTAAAGCCTGTGGTGGAGTGTGTCGACCTGTCCGCACTCACAGCGCCCGTCCGTAGCGTAACCCGCCAAACGACCTCTCTCGTTGGTCCACACTCCATTGCACCCACAGCATTTCACTAAAAACTTGGCGCGCCTACCCAAACCCTTAGTTGTTGGCCCCAATCGGCCCCGCACGAGATCCAAGGTGGCCCTGTGCCCAGGGGGGTGGCCTAATTTAGCTGCAAGAGTCAGTTCATGCTGGCGCTGAATACTAATCTCTAGCATCTGAGCTAACAGAGCAGGAGGGGTCTGATCTATCTTTACCGTGAGACCATTGTGATCATTCCACTCCAAAGGTCCTAGCACCTCCCACCCAGCTCCCTGGAGCACTAGCACCGCACGACGGATAGGGCCGCGAGAGGAGCTCCAGGGACCACCCTGCAGAGGCTGGGCCGAGCCCCAGAGCCTAAGAAGCTCACTCTTACTGAGTAGTGCTCGCTCGGGCTGGGTGGAGGCTGTCCAAATCATCCTACACCAATGGGTCGCAGGGGCCACCGCGAGACGAGAGCTCTTGTCCCCAAGAAGCACCCGCTTCGCAGTTAAAGAGACCCCGCCGTGACAGGGGGCGTCAGCACTACATATCATTCGCTGGTGGGATCCCCACTCGGCCTGACTAAGGCCTGAAACCTCAGCGCCAAAACTGCTAGCTGGAGCAACTCCAGCACGGCAGATCTTGGAAAATGAGGATCTTTCCGACCCTTAAACCGTTTCTTGTAAAACTGGACTTTCCTCAGTTCATTCGCATTCCAGAAAAACGTCGGGCTTGCTTGGCTCTCACCCCTACTGCACCGCGCCTGGCTCCTGCAGCCTCGTCGACTCCGAGGTAGGAGACGCTCTGCTTGAGTATGGAGTGCGGCAAATCTAGCGCGCCGAGCACCGCGTGGCCGAGCTTCGGGGTGGACGCCAGCAAGCCGATCTTATCATACTTGAAACCAGCGGAGAGCTTATCCGAAGTACGTCGGAACTCGACCATAGCGTGCACAGGGACCTTCACTGCAATCTCCTCATCTTTGGCACCATTGCTGAGAGCCTTGTCATCGATGTAGTTCAGAAAATCTACCGCAGGGCATCTGGATATGCACTCATCGAACTCTTCGTAAGCGTGCACCTTGATCGCCAAATCGTTGTAGCCGTCGCCCGCAGGTAGGCCACAAACTGCAAACAGAGGTGTGACAGAATGATGCTTGCCCAAGCGAATGACACGCGGTGACCTCCACATGCTATAAACCAGCTTGAGCCAGCATACAAGCACTCCAACTTTCAGAAACTTCATTCGCAGCAAATCCAAAGGTATGGGCTCGTAGTATTTGGACAAATGGATGACCCACATGAGGTGATGACGGTGACTGTGATGATCACTCTCAGCTCGTGCCGCCTGCAGCCAAGCACAATCAAGCGCCGAACGTCCTTTCGCTGCACCCCAATATCTACGAGAAAGCTGCTGACTGATGCCTGATACCATCCATCTGCGAGCGCGCTGCCAGATACGGTACACTCCAGCATACAGTATAATCAAACGATTGCCTCCTGACGGCTTTCCCAGCATCGGCATCTGTATCCAACATAACTGCTTAGGGAGAAGCCCAATTGCCTCAGAACATTGAAAAATCAGACTAAGTACTTCCAACGCGTTGTCGTCTAACATGAGCGCATGCCGAGGGTGGAAATGATCGAAGCTAGCTGATGTTCCCGTCGGGAAGGTCTTCGCCACCGATCTGATAGCTTCGGGTTCCATCACTGGGCAAGTGCTCCGATCAGGCACCCATGCATAAGGTGCTTGACCACTTGCCTTCCACAACTTCTGGTACATCTCCACTTCCTTCTCGACGATCGCAACTGGGCTACCTGAGACGACTGGCCCTGAACACTGAGCTGGCTCCAATATGGCCTTAACCTTCGTAAGTCTGTGAAGGGCACGCGCGCCGCGGGAAACTGACTCGGCACGCCACTCAGTCCACAGCTGCGCGGACTCCTTATTCATGCCTGATACCGCTGCCTCCAAGTCCTCATTAACCTCGTCTAAGAACTGGGAGATCGCGTCAGTGTCCACGGGGATGCCACTGACCAGATCGCGCGCTTGCTTGACAGAGAAATCGAGGCGCTCATGCAGCCCTTGCCCGTGATACTGCACCGTGAGAAAACTGTCAATCTCAAGAGAGCACTGATCTAGATTACTTGTCCCAAGATAGAGCTGCAGTATCGCCTGAAGACTGTTTGTCATCCACTGCCAGCCTTCAGCAATCAACTTCGCGTGCGTATCATCATCTAACTCGTACGTTGCACCAACCCACCTGGGGGACAAATTGCGGCCAAAAGCTCCAGGCTCTTTCAACTCCGCGCCAGTGTTGATCGCCACCTGCTTCGCTGCCGTCACTGCGAACTTCGACCAAACTCGTGATAGTAGAGCCCATACAGCTTCGACCGACTGCGCCTCATCCGTCGCCATGGCCAGACACGCCTCAGCAAGGGCGCGGTGAGTGCCCCAGTCAGCTGGGGCTGCAGGAGGTCCTATCACTGGAGCCGAGGGCAATGGTGGCGAAACGGTGTACACGAAATGACGAATACTGTATCCATTGTCCACGATACTTAGCAACACAGGTCGATGCGGTCGTTTAGCCCATCGCATTTCTGCTTGCACACCTCTGAAACCACGCACCGCCGCATCGTTTAGGGCGAAGTAGTCGATAGTCGTGGATCCCGTTCCTGCTCGACATGTCACATGAGTTGGCACTGCCATGGTGACCTTTGCCGCGCGAGGAAAACCAGCAGACTCCAGTTCTGCCACAGACAGATTCCAGTCACATCCAGCAACACAAGGCCCACGACAGTCGGAGAAACATTGCCCGAGCTTAGCCAAGATAGTGGAGTTGATGCCCGTGGGGCCGATGGAGTCCTTGAGATATCCATTGAGCACGTGATAAGCTGGCTATCCAGGGAGATCTACCATCACGTGCTGCAGTCGATGTGGATACAGAACGTGATGCCCATGCTCGGGCTTACGAAGCCCAAGCTCAGAACGTGCAAACACAGCTACTCCAGCAGACGGATTACCTCCCGTAGCCACACCAGGAACTGCAATTAACTTCCATCCACGATTGTGCGCCCATGTGTACAGGGACTCGACGTTGGACGCATCATACCCAATCTCTTGAGCCACGAGTACATGCGCACATGAACGTGTCACTCGATCTTTTAGCGTATTGCGACCACCATTTGCGTTGAACGATTCGAACAGGTACGTGCTCTGCGACGGGGGTGCAGGTGTAGGCTTCGTCTTTCCTGTCATCGAAATGGGTGCGCCAGAAACTCTCGCAGCCACAAAACCATCTGCATCTGAAGAATCCACCATTTCAGAAATCGTCTGTGACCTTGGTCGGGCGGGCTCCGAGGAGAGCAGAGGCTCTGCATTCCTCGCAGCGCACAATGAAACTAAATCACGGCCAGCGAGCACCCTGTACATCATCTCGCACGCGCTACCCAAGTCGTTGTCGCTCGGCGAACTCGCCAAGCTTGGTGTTGAACGCCTCGAAACTTTCAGATTCGAAGAGATCCTGCTTCTCTTCGTCGGACAGGTCCTCGAAGGTGCGCTTGGGAGCTTCACTTGGGCCAGACTCATCCCCGCCACCAGCACTAGGCTCGCCATCATCACGAGCAGGAGCTGGAGGGGACGCGGCAGTGAACTTGCTCTTGAGCACCGACTGCAACTTGGTCCACAGCTCGGACCCGAGGAAGGACTGCAAGTCGCCATCGCTGACGTCCGAGGCCTTGACATCGAAGTCGAAGTTGGGCGCAGCTCTGGCGTCATCCTCAGGGGCAGGACGGCCGACCAACGCCGCCGTTCGCTTGAACTCCGCCTCCAGGGTAGTGACCTCGGCTCGTTTAGCTTGTAACTGCGCACGTCGAGATACCAAAGCTTCCTGCATCTTTGCAATCTGCTGCTCCTTCTCGTTGATCTCGCTTTCAAGCTTCGCGCTGTGTAACTTAGCTGTTTCCAGATCTTGCTGCGCACGGCGGTGGGCTTGCGTAGGAGTCCGCAATGCCCTGTGCTGCTCGCGCAGCTAGGCCAATTTGTCCTTCGTAGCCTTCTTGATCTGGTCACTCTCATCGCCAGGGAGCGCCTTGAGGATGGACTCGTATTGCGCAATCTGGCTCGATAACCTTGTACGTTTGGTAGAATCATCTTCTTCCGTGTCCATGCTGTTGCCATCTGCTTTTGGTTCTTGCTTCCACGGCGGTACCCCTTCGCCTGGCGCTGGCCAGACCTTCGGAGGCACCGCACCTGTAGATGGAACGCCCTTGCCGAGGAGAAGCTTCTCAAGGGCCTCCAAACGCTTACTCGTTTCATCCTTATGCATGCCGCTTTCTTCCCCTTTCCCACCTGAACTATCACCTTTGGACAGGATCTCTTGGTGAGCAATCCAAGCGGCCTTCTTGATACGTAACGGCGCTTCATTTCCACACTGACAGCGGATACGCGATGCCCAGTTCGCCGAGGCTGAGCACCGCCCACATGCCCAAGTGGGCCGCCGCGGCCCGCGGAGCACCGCAGGGGCGGACGGCGGCGGCCCTGGCGCCATGCTGGCGCCCGCGTCTTTCTCTTCTGGGAGGGAGCCCCTCCTCCTCCTCCTCATCCTCCTCCTCCTCCTCATCCTCCTCCTCCTCCTCCTCCTCCTCCTCCTCCTCCTCCTCCTCCTCCTCCTCCTCCTCCTCCTCCTCTCCTCCTCCTCCTCCTCCTCCTCCTCCTCCTCCCTCCTCCTCCTCCTCCTCCTCCTCCTCCTCCTCCTGGTGCAGATCCCCGTGGTCCAGGGGCACAGCCGCGGACTAGCGGTATCCGTGAAAGCCCATGCGGGCTCCGCCCGCCAACACATAGGTCTTGAGCCAAAATGGCTACGGAGAAGCGAGGAGGAACCAGGAGCGACGAGGAAGGAGCAAGGAGGGAGCGAGGAGGGAGGAGCGAGGAGCGAAGAAGGAGCGAGGAGGAGCCAGGACGGACCGAGGAGTGGCGAGGAGAAGCGAGGCGGGAGGAGCGAGGAGGGAGGAGCGAGGAGGAGCGAGGAGGGCGGAGCGAAGAGGAGCGAGGAGGGGGGAGCGAGGAGGGAGCGAGCGAGCGAGGAGGAACCTTTTCCCGCCCGGGTTCCACCCGGGCCTGCCAGGCCGCCGGCGCGGACCGAGGCTCGCTTGACGCGGCGAGCGCTGCTGCCCTCGCGGGCTCTGCGGACAGAGGGCACACGCGGGCCACAGCCGGTGCCCGCGCCCGACGAGGCTCGCTTCGAGGGACGGAGCTCTAATCTCCGACGAGGTGTGCCGACTGGCATGCTCGTGGCTTCTGCATGGCCGACAACCTTCGGCCTCCCCCATCCACCCTCTCCACCCTCCAATTCCTCCGCCGCCACCTGCCTCCTCCTTCTCCTCTCCCCCATTCTCATCTTCCTCTGCGCCTCCACTTTGATCCTCCTCCTCCTCCTCCTCCTTCTCCTCCTCCTCCTCTTCTCCGCATCTTCTTCTTCTCCTCCTCCTCCTCCACCTCCTCCTCCTCCTCCTCCTCTTCCTCCTCCTCCTCCTCTACTCCACACACTTCTCCTAACCTCGCCTCATCATCCCCGTCCTCCCTACTCCCTCTCCCTCCTCACCCATCCTCCATCATGCTCCCCCTCTTCCTCCTCATCCTCCTGCTCCCATCGCTCCTCCTCGCCATGATCATCATCAGCATCAGCATCAGCATCAGCATCAGCATCATCATCATCATCATGATCATCATCATCATGATCATCATCATCATCATCATCATTATCATCATCATCATAACATCATAGCATCATCACCAGCAGCAGCAACAGAAGCAGCAACAGTAGCAGCACCAGCAGCATCATCATCAGCAGCAGCAACAGCTTCGTCATCGTCATTGTCATTGTCATCATCGTCACCACTATCGTCATCATCATCATCATCATCATCATCATCATCATCATCATCACCATCCACAAAATCATCTTTATCATAATCATCCGATTAATCCTCATCATCATCGTCATCATTATCAACATCATCATCCTGATCATCATCCACAACATCAGCCTCACCCTTATCCGCATGATCATCACCATGGTCGTCTTCATCATCAGCATCACCATCAACATCATCAGCATCAACAGCAGCATCATCGTCATCAGCAAGTCTAGCAGCATTGTCAATCTTATCAATACCATGAGCACCACCACCAGCACCAGAATCATCAATACCAGTAGCATCATCATCAGCAGCAGCAGAAGCAGCAGCGGCACCATCATCGTCATCTCCATCAGCATCACCATCATCATCAACACCGTCAGCATCATCATCATCATCATCATCATCATCATCATCATCATCATCATCATCATCATCATCCACAGCATCGTCGTCACCACCATCACTATCATGATCATCACCAGCAGCATGATCATCGTCATCATCAGAATCGTCAGAATCGTCATCATCATCGTCATCATCAGCATCATCATAATCGTCATCAGCATGATCGTCATCATCACCACAATCATCATCCGCATCATCGTAGTCACCACCATTAGCATTATCAACGTCATCATCAGCATCGTGAGCATCATCATCATCATCATCATCATCAGCAGCATCGTCGCATCATCATCATCATCATCATCATCATCATCATCATCATCGTCATCATCATCATCATCATCATCATCATCATCATCATCGCCATCAGCATCATCATCATCAGCAGCATCAGCATCTTCATGATCGTCAGCATCATCATCAGAATCGTCATCATCGTCATCATCGTCATCATTTCTCTACATCATCATTCCCCTCATCTCCATCCACACTCTCATCATCAACAAAACCACCATCATCCTCATCATCATCAGCAGCATCATCATCACAACCATCATCAACATCAGCATCAGCATCATCATACTCCAAATCATCATCAGTATCATCATCATCATCATCATCATCATCATCATCATCATCATCATCGTTTTTCGTCAGCATCGTCATCATAGCATCGTCATCATCAGCAGCAGTATCATCAGCATCATCACTGTCATGATAATCATTATCGTTATCATCCTCATCATGATAATCGTAATTATCCTCCTCATTATCATCCACATCATCATCATCATCATCATCATCATCATCATCATCATCATCATCATCATCATCATCGTCCACATCGACATCATCCCCATCCGCATCCACACCCTCATCATCATCATCATCACCACCATGATCCTCATCATCCTCATCATCATCAGCATCATCGTCAGCATAAGCATCAGCAAACTCATTATTATCAGCAGCAGCATCATCAGCATCATCATCCTTCTCCTCCTTCTCCTCATCATCAGCATGAATATCATCATCCTGATCATCATCTGCATCATCATCATGTTCATCATCATCATCTTCATCATCAGCATCATCACCAGCATCATCATCATCAGCATCATCATCAGCATCATCATGTTCGTCGGCATCGTCGTCGTCTGCCTCATCCTCACCATCGTCGTTATAAACATCAGTACCAGAATTATCGCCTTCACCAACAGAAAACAACATCATCATAGATTGCCCTCCGACTCCCTCCCCTGCTGCTGGTCATCTCCCTCCTCCTGATATCAGGCCCACGGTCCCGACGAAGCCCCTCGGGCATGGGCACCGGATGCCGGTCCGCTCTAGGAGGGTCTGAGCGGCGCATTGAAATGCCAGCCAAAAGAGAAAATCCGCCGCCAATGCGGCCGACAACAAGAGACAAGAGCCGCCAATGCTGCGCCTCGTAGAAACATCCGCCACCATGCCCCCTGGCATGCTGAGGCTTGGTAGACCGCCAAGCACTGTCTGGTAGGGTTCCTGTGGTACTCAAAAAACGGGGGCGCGCAAACATCGACTAGCGATCCATGGATCTGGTGCGCGGTCGCAATATCCATGGATCGGGGGAGGTGCCCTCCCCAATATGCGGCCAGTGTCGCCTCGCTCGGCGGCGGAAGTCCGCGACTTCCCATGGAAACGGGACCCGTCGCTAATGTTTGCGATCGCCTGGAGGAGGAGGAGGAGGAGGAGGAGGAGGAGGAGAGAGGAGGAGAGAGGAGGAGAGGAGAGAGGAGGCGAGATGAGAGAGAGAGAGTAGGAGGAGGAAGAGGAGGAGGAGGATGAGGAGGGGAGGAGGAGAGAGGAGAGGAGGAGGAGGGAGGGGAGAGAGGAGGAGGAGGAGGAGGAGGAGGAGAGGAGGAGGGGATGAGGAGGAGGAGGAGGAGGAGGAGGAGGAGGAGGGGGGGGGAGAGGAGGAGGAGCAAAAGAAAAATAATAATAATAATATGAATAGTATTGATAACAACAACAACAATAATAATAATAATAGTAATAATAATAATGATAATAATGATAATAATAATAATAATAATAATAATAACAATAATAATAATAATAAGAAGAAGAAGAAGAAGAAGAAGAAGAAGACCACGGCCCAAAGAGGCCTCCAAGGCGGCCCTAGGAGGCGCCGAGACGGCCCCACGGGCCCTCCAAGCGACCCAGAGGCCCGGGAGCGCCCGAGAACCCCAGGCGGCCCCAGGCTGCCCGGGAGCGCCCCAGGATGGCCCGCGGAGCCCTCCAGGGGCGCGAAGAGGCTCCCAAGACGCACCCGAGAGGCCTCCTGGAGGCCCCCCGGAGAACCTAAGAGGCGAGGAGGGACAAAGAGGGAGGGAGGGAGAGAGGGAGGGAGGGAGGGGAGGCCAAGGCTGCACGAGGAAGGCCACCCCGGCACGACGCGGATGAGCCTCGGGGCAAGAGGTGTCAACGCGTGACGGCTTCCTGTCCGCTCCTCGGGCAGTCGCCGCCCAGAGCGCTGGGCTGGCACAGTGGCGGGGCTTGCCGCAGGCACCTGGAGGTGTAAATGAAACTAGCGAAATCAAAATATATTCCTCCCTCCCTCCTCCACCTTTCTCCTCCTCCTACTCCTCCTCCTCCTCCTCCTTCTCATCCTCCTGCTCCTGTTCCTCCTCCTCCTCCTCCGCCTCCTCCGCCGCATCATCATGAATCATCAGCGTCATCGTCATCCTCCTCCTTCTCTCCTTCTGTCCCAAGCCCCCCTTGCTGCTCCTGCTCTCTCCTGCTCTCCCTCCCCCTCCTCCGCCCTCTCTCCCTCTCCCCCACCTCGCCCTCCTCCATGCATCCGATGCGGGTAATTACATGCCAGCCCAAGCCCTGGAATTTGTTGTGGGCCCCGCTCTCAAGTTTGCCCTGCGGGAGCGGGTGCACCAGCGCAAGGCGCAAAGTATGGCGCAGCCGCCCATTCCGCCAGAAGAAGCAGCTCGACGAGCTGCGGCTGATGCTGCTGCAGCGAGCGACGCGGCGGCGGCGCACGCTCAGGCAGCGGCGGCAGTGCTCGAGATTCGCGCCAGTTTGGCAAATGCCGAAGAACGCGTGAGGGCAGCGGTCCTGGCCTTGGGGCTGGCAGGGAATGGCGAGATGGTCAGCACAGCAATACAAGCACGAGCAAGAGTCGCCACCCAGTGATGTAAACGAAGCGACCAACCAAGAAGGCGGCACCGACGGACTCTTCGAGCCGCGCTGGGACGAGGAACCATTCGCATACGTCGGGGATGGCACCATCGAGGGTCCCGAAGCGTCAAAGAAGACGGAGGTGTAGACCGTCCGGCGCAAGCCAGGGGCCGCCGCGGCGCAGGTCGAGCCCAGAAGTGGCCCGAGAGGTCGCGGGAGGCCTGTGCCGAGCTCGAGCAGCGCTCGCTCGAGAAGAGGACGGCTGATAACGGCGGCGCAGATGGTAGAAGAAGAAAAAACATCAGCATCTGGCGCTCCGCGCAGCTTTTTGGGATCTGCGCTGGACCCCCCTCCCTGGCGCGCGGAGCGGGCCAGAGACAGCGCCGGAGACGCCGCCAGGGGTGGGGCCCAGCGCGGATCCAAGAAATCCGCGCGAAGCGCCTTAAGTTTATGTAAGCGTATGGCGTTTGTTCTTCTTCGATTCGCTATCGGCTACCAGGGGCCTATCGCCGATCTAGGCTGCGTATTACTGAATCCAAGTCGACTTCGCCCCCCCCTTTAGCCAGTCCATCCTAACGTTCCCCCTCAGGCGGGGAGGGGGCGAGGAGGAGGAGGAGGAGGAAAAAGAAAAGGAGGAGGACGAGGGAGGAGGGAGAGGAAGAGGAGAGAAGGAGGAGGAGAGAGGAGGAGGAGGAGGAGGAGGAGGGAGCAGCAGCAGCGGAGGCAGGGGGGGAGGAGGAGGAGAGGAGGAGGAGGAGGGCAGGAGGAGGAGGAGGAGGAGGAGGAGGAGGAGGAGGAGGAAGGAGGAGGAGGGATGGGAGGAGGCGGAGGGAGGAGGAGGAGGAGGAGGAGGGAAGGAGGAAGGATGAGGAGGGAAATGGAGGAGGAACAGCAAGCAGCAGCCGCTCCTGCAGCAATTGTGCAGGAGGCTCGGGCGGAACAGCGGCGACCAGTTGGGCTCCACGTCCCCCCCCCGAGTGGGGGACCCTATCCCATGGTCCCTATCCCATGGTCCCTTCGCCTTACCTCTGCCGTTGCCCTCCAGCGCAGCGCCGCCAAGGAAAGGACAGGCTCCGAGCAGGATGCCACAAGTCATGTCCAGGAAAAGCGCGCGGGATATGTTGCTGCAGCGCCTTCCTTGGAATTGTAAAACACTACCCAAAGGTAAACGTGTGGCACTCCGCGCGGAGCGCCCAAAGATTTGTTTCTGGCATTTCGTTCGATATTATACCAGCCTCCTCC